TGCACAGTGCGTTTATCCTCAGCTTCTATTCCCAGAGGTGCTTTAGTTCATGGGAAACTTGCTCCGTTCCCCTCTCCACTACGCCCAAACTCATTGATTCCAATGGCTCCTTACGCTGCTATCTCAGCCGTTCATCCTTCCAAGACCCCTCATGATCAGCCAGCGGTGCAGCCATGCAACCTCCTGGCTCGCTGTTTATGAGAACACAACACAAACTGCATCCAATTCTCCATATTGCAGGGACAAAGCTTCAATTTAAAAGGATTTTTTCCATGCTTTGTTTTGATCTTTGCTCAAAACTTCACGTTGCTCAGTCACGATTCAGGCAGCACCATCGATGGTTTTTATCTCAGCTAAGTTACAACTAACCTAACAAGACTGGAATTCATCCACGCTTGCCGTCCAAACTGCACGAAAGCATCGTGGAAGCTTATCTGATTTATGCAGAATTGCTAAAATCCTTTGGGTCTTGTCTTCATTGGACTTACTTTCTTAAGCTTTCCAGGCAGTAGTAGCAATAGTCAGATTTTATTTCTTTAAATTATATGATGTGTCCTTGCTCAAACTTAACCACGCTCACCCTCGCAGTTCTGAAACCAGAACATGTGCTAACTATTCCAGTTATGGGCTTAGAGGAACTCAAGCAATCAATACTCATTAACACTCCACCCATTACTCGTTTCCCCTCTAACATACCCGAAAAGGCAAGCGCTCCATTCGGGGGGCTCAGGATTGATCCTGATGGCCGCACAATGACAGCACATGGCCAGTACACGTGTACAAAAAGCCACCGGTTCCAGGTCTGTTAGCTCCCTAATAAATCTGTGCTTGAAATCAGCAGTGATTTAAACTCATTTATTTTTGGCTGAGTTTCAGAAGCAGTAACACCTTCAGCTCAGGCAGCAGCAGCTAAGAGTCAGAGGGGAGAATAACTTTATAAATGACTCCAAAACAATATCCACCTGAATGGCAACAGTTTTCCACATCAATTTTCGGCATGTGTATCTGTGTTATCAATGAAAGCCAGAGAAGCACACACTTCTCCTTGGTTTACTGTTGAACAGACTATGTGAGTGGCTAAAATAATACAGGGAGTCTGCAATGGAGAGAAAGGAGCAGAAACCCAGGACTTGCACAGCTCAAACTGCTCCTTAACCATGAGCCCATTCTTCATTTTTCTAGCACGCTCAAAGAGATCTTTATGCTTCTTTTGACTCCCTGGCTTGCTGGAAAATCTGCTGTCTGTCGACATTAAAAAAAAAAAAGTTAAGCGACACAAGCTAGTCTGCAGTTTACTCCATTTACAAGCTTTAAGTGATTGCACACAGCAAAGATTTCAAGATGCTCTGGACAGCAAAACGAGTAAGGAAATCTTCATTTGGTCTAAAAGAAAGGGGGGAAAAAAAAGGAGAAACAAACAAATTATGCACTAAGAGAACCACTTGTCAAATGGCTAGGATAGTGCACTTTAAGTTACTGACTCCCCACAAACATCCAGTCTACTAAAAAATTCATAAAGAGACAGATGGCACAACAGCAGCTCTTTGCAGGAGAGCAGGGTTTAGCAGTGAACAAAGGACTTGGACTCCCTGGGACAAGAGGGGGGATCATTGTGGGGTGTGGGGGCTTGGAAGGGAGGACGGGAGCATGCGGGGAGCTGAGGAGGCTGCGTCTATCACCCCGCAGCAGCACCAGGTTTGAGACGTTGATTCTGCCTTGGCAGGCTTACAGGGGGCATGGAGAACAGAGCAGAGCAAGAACAATCCCACTCTGCCATGTAGATGAAATCCTTGTTGCGGTAGAAACATGAAAAATACAAACAAGAACTCCATTTCCCACAGTTAGGCAACTCTAACACTTGGTATTAAGGGGGAAACTGAGGCACGGAGTTATGTGACTTGTTTAAAAGTGATGAGGCAACTCAGTATCAGTGGGAATTTGATCCAGGCCTCTCCATTCATGCTATCCTGCCTCTAAATATTAGGAAATATCCTTGTATTACCCAATGGGTTTTGGGATCAGCCTGAAAGGGAGATGGGAGGGATAAAGTCATTTTTAGATGGCCAAGATTAAGAGAAAAAAGAAAAACACAAACCACAACACAGGATGGCCACAAGTCTGCATTTATTTCAAGACAGATCGCTCAAAATGAAAGCTAATCTATATGCCCTTTTGACTTTTTTAGGGAGAGGGAAGAACACAAGAAGACATAAAGCCCAGCCCTATTACTGTGGACATCTCACACAGAGCACTTCAGCACACAGCATGGATGCTATAGGGACACAGAATGTTTCAGCCTGGCAACAGCTGTCTTTGCTGAAGTGAGTTTAGTGCTTGTGAGAGGTGCCAGCCAGCCCAGAGAGCCCTGTCCTGTGTTTATCCATGGTGCAGGTAGGGCACGAGGAGCAGCAGGGAAGAAAACCTCTATCCGTGCTGCCCCGTTTCTGCACTGAAGGGCTGGAGCCCCACGGCACACGAATGTAATCCAGAATCTTCTGCTTCCTTAGAGAGATGCTAACAAGCGTGCCAGCTGCGTTCCTGCTTTGTGGGGTTTTAATAATAGTAATAATAATAATAATAATAATAATAATAATAATAATAATAGTAGCCTAAATGTTTACAGCATGTGTCAGCTGACCAATAGTGCAGTTCAGCATCCACCAAACCCCTGTGCCAAGTCACTGCAGCACCACTGGCCCCATGCCTACACCCACCCGTTACTGCACGTCTCGACCCAGGGTGATGCTCCACACAGCCCAGCTCTTCACCCAAATCCCCTTCACCACCACTGCCCCACTAACAGCTGCAATAAACACAGAAATAAGTGTGGTAGCAAGACACATCAGATTCTTTACAGGACAAATTAGGAAGAGCTTAGGTTAACAGCGGGAGGAATTGAACCCAGGATCTCCAATCTTTAATGCATCTGAGCTCAATGACCTCAACTCCATCAGCTCAGAGACAGCAGAGGACTCATGAGCCTCCACACAGTAAAACCATCAAGACAGCAGCTACACACAGCACAGGGCTTATGCTCACATTTTGCAGCGGTTTTCCAAGCAATTTCCCCTGTATTAACAAAAAAGTCAAGTCTGTACCATCCCAGTTACATTGCATTGATTAATTGAGATGTTTTGTACCAATTAATTAGAAATTTCTTTTGACTATTTATCTCTTCTTAGAAGAATAAAATAATAAACAAATAAACTGTTCAACCAAAAGAGTCACTCGGTTCTCCTCAGTACCCTCAAGGCTTCGAGTAAATCACAGCTTCAGTAAACCAGGTAAAGCACTAAGAGTAACGAGAGCACAACACAACCTGCTCTAAAGTGCATCATCTTCAAGAAACACGAAATAATTGAGAACACCACAAAACATTACCACTTGATGAATGGGAATTTATATCTAAAACTATACAACTCGCCTAAAATGAGAGAGAAAACCTGCAGTAAAACGATGAATTCATTTGCAGTACCCACAACCTCTTCAAAGTAAGACCAAGTTTCTTTTTATTTGCATTAACTGGGGTGCAAAAGGTAGCAAACTAAGTAACTATAATATCAGTGTGACAAAATACAGTTTTCATTTGGGAAGTATCGTCTCCAAAAGAGCAAACTTCTACCCTGCTATCTGAAAGCCGCCCTGACCCGTCCACTTCATATCCCTGTCTGCCATTTCAACACAGAAGGAAGCGTTAGGACGCAAAGTTCACGCTAATTTTGAGGGACTACAGGGAACGTTGAGAACCACCACTGCAGCCAGGAGGAAAAGAAACAAAACCGTTCACATTTCTAAAGACTCATAAACCTACCAATCCCACAGGTACTACTTCAAAAACTACACAGGAGGACAGGATAAACAGGACTTCAGACCACTGGGAATGCACCACAGGAACACACCGGTTTAGCTCTGATGAATTCTGATCTTGTATGCAAGGTTAAAGCATGCTCTAACGTTGTGAGAAGTGGCTCGTGCTGTCTAAAGGACTTGGAGTGCGTATTTTGCAAATGCTCCTGGACTAACCATCTACCACGCAGTCTCAAGCACACGTTCAGATGGTCCTTTCAGCCCTGTGCTCCATGGAGTTGTGCCCGTTTCTGCTTTTTGAGGCCTGCAATAGCAGCGTTGCAGGATTCGAGCTGTATCACCAGTGTTCAAACAGGGGCAGCGTTCTGCAGTCAGGCTCTGACCCAAATTACACTGGAAATTTGACTCAGAACAGGGCAGGAACCTCCATACTCTGATGTATCCCACAGAGCTGTGTCAGTGGGAGAGCACACGCAGTAAACTTCAGAGAAGCAGCTCCCTTTCGTATAGAAAAGTGCTGGTTTCCAAGAGTGAATGGAAAAATAACTACAAGGTCCTCAGGATCTAAATCCAGACCCCAGAGCAAAGGTCACAGCAGAAATGGTTTATTCAGCATCACAAGTTTTGGACTTCATTCAAGGAGCAGAAAAAACCCAACGACGACGACATGGCTGACATTTTTATCCTCTAGACCTGGAACCGAGTAATATACAAAGCTACCGTTCTACATAGAATGGAACATAAAGTGACACACAATCCCCAAACCATCCGTTTTAATCCTGCCTAGAACGTTGCAATTCTGCCTTTACCCCTTCCATCCTCCCAACATTGCCACAAAAATACTGTCCTTTTGGTAAAGGACATTATTGAAGCTGCCAGGTTGCTCAAAGCTTTGTCTGTCTCAGTAATCCCTGGTGAACAGAAAGTATTCCAGATACATCCATGGACTATTTGGTCACAATGAAAATGATACAGAGAATTTAATTTAAACCATAAACATCCACAATTTTGTCAAGGAAAGCCCAAATGGACTAAAGTTACCCAACTCTTAGGCTGGCATTCCTCTACAGAACCACAAAGCTCAGACAGCTCTGGATGGCAGACACTGACAACCATCAAGAAAGACCCTTGGCTGCCTCAAAGCAAACAAATCTGGGGTTGCTTTAGTGGAAGAATGTGGATTCATGTCCTACCTGTCGATGATCACGGGGTCAGACGGAGTCTCATTTCTGTTGCCGCAGCTTTTCTTCTCACAGCACCGACTAGAGGGAGAGAGAAAACCAAAATTAAAGAGTTACTGGAACAGTTGCTAGCAAAGCAATCAGCTAAAGCCTTGTCAGCAAACCTTCAGGACTCAACATATGCCCAGAAGACCAACTGCAAAAATTCTGGCTGGGCTTTCCAGAAGGGAAAGGAACCGAGGAGGGGCCTGGGTGCCCCAAACCCGGAGGATTCCTTGCTGGAGGTTGGCACTTGGCTCCCCATGGCCTTTTTTAGGAATTCCGAGCCAAAAATGAACAGCAATATGGTCACACTTTAGACTGAGGCGCTATTTATAAAGGCTTAATAAATGATTAACAGATGCCAAAATGACATTACAGGCACGAGTATCGTGTGTTACATATGGTTAAAAGTCCATCAAAAGGAGGTGTTAGAACTGACTATAAGCAAGCTACTGATTTGTTCTATTTAATAACTGATTTGTTGATTGTTAAATATCTAGTAAACCCTAAGTTTCATGCACCCACAGAAAACTTCAGCACTACAGTAACACCAACGAAAAAGCAGAAACTGAACATACTTGGATCCTACTGGAGATATTGTTTCAGGTTGGCATTTCACCTGTAAACCCCTTTGCAATTGTTTCAGTGACTATAATCCCTCAAGATTAAGCATGTATTTATACACATTTTAGACTGTGTGTTCACCAACATGATGATATAGAAATAAGAACTCCCTAATGAGCTCATAACGTAAAATAAATATATTTATCTGACTCAGTAAGGCTGTTGCCCTCAAGAGCTTGCAGTAAGGTTTGTATTGCAGCATGTCCACATCAATGTGTGTGTGCATATATATATATATACACCAAAACAACTGTGTATGTATCTGTGTGCACATATATAGATAGATACAGGAGATGGTAGAGGAGAATACAACCTACACTCAGGAACTATTTGATGGCCTTCACTCCCAGCAAATTAAACTTTCTTCAGGAAAAGGGTACAGAACCACATTTCCTTTTCCCATTTTCAATAATAAATTATAAAAGGAGAACAAAATCAGACAGGTTGTTATTTGGTTTCCACCAATATATTCATTGACGTGAGTGATGCTCCTTGCATACACACCAGCTGAGTACCAAAATGTAATAGACTTTAAAAACAGCCTTTACTCTGAAATCTGTAGCAACACAGAAGGCTGTCAGCAGATTTAAGCTGTCTTGATGCTCAGATTGATCTTTCCAACCTAACACGACACGGGAGGGAGAGGATGAAGGCATCCAAAACTTTACCTAGGCTGTATCAGCAGTCCCATATCCCTCAGAAGTCACCAGAGCAGCTTCTGCCCTAAGTCACACAAAAACCTTTCCAAATGCTGTTTTTCCCATTCTCCCGAGATTGCTCAAAGGTACAAATACAAAATCAAACACTGTTTTGGTTTTTTGTGCACTGGTATAATAGGACCTGAATACATCTGCAAAATTCTCAAGTCAGTCTGAATTGCCCAGTTTTCCAACTGGGAAGCAATTCCAAACAGAGGAATTAAAAATTTATATAGAAATTAAATTAAATGCTTGAATTCACCAAAGGCAGTACAAAATACGAAATAGTAACTTTTTCTTGAAATGCTTAATATTCAATCATAAATACTTAAAATAAGCGTTTAGACCATAAAAAAACCTCTTTCAGAGATGAAAAATTCCAAATGAGTGCATTTCCTCCTTAAGTTACAGCGTGCGCCAGGACCTTCCCATAGACAAACTGGAACTGCCCAGCACGATGAGCTACGGCCACCAGATTGAATTGCTATTTGAATAGCAGCTCTAACTGTTCCAACGTCTCTACGCTCCCTTTGCCTCAAACCTGCACTTATTCGTCGATGCTACTCCTTTTAAAATAAAAGGAGACACTAAATATTTAAAAATCCCTGGGGCAGACCCTCTAGCTGCTGTAAATTGTCATAGCTCCATCGACTTCACTGAAGCTATGGTAATTCACACGAGCTACCAATATCCCCACTCCCAACTTTAAGTCGATCTTCTCTGCATTTCACTGCCCAATGATTGTTTATAAAGAATCACGTATTTTTGTACTGAAAGCCAATATGTGAGATATTTTCTGAAGAAAAAAAATAAACCCCCAAAAGGCCGAAAACCCTCACTCTGTAGAAATTTGGCATGGATTTCTGACAAGTCCAGTGAAACAACGCATTGGAAATAACACTGGGAATAAATGCATTGCTATAATAAAACAACAAAAGAAGTTTGATTTTAGAAGTATTTTTGTAGTGCTTTATTGTTGTTTTTCTTATTTACAGCCAGCTGAAGCAGTGGTCATTTCTTCTCTTTGCAATAATACTAAATAAGGTATCCTTAAGTTGTGTAACTTCTGCACATGGTCATTAAAAAGATTTCTGATCGCACTAACCCATAGTAACGTTCAAGCAGAATGTACAGCAGTGCCTCCACCACACCCCAGCAGCTCACAGGCTCTTCCCAGAGAGATGGCCATATTTTGGCATAGTGTTTTAGGATGAATTATTGGAGATTGGAGTACAACGTGGCTGGGGTCTGAAATAAGCACATCTTGGTTTGGTTTTGTTTGCATAATTAGGAACTTTACACTTGTAATACTTAAAAAAATCTTCCTTCCCAAACTGCAGCTCACAGGTAAGTTCTCCAAATATCTCCCAAATATCGACATCCTTATCACACTTGGGTAACAGATTTGTTGGAGCGCTAGATTTTTTCCCTTTTGACCATAATACCTTTTGAGCACAAACATATATGAAAAAGTGTCTTGATTAGGGAAAATCACTCACTCCAGTGAATGAGGAGGTCACACGCAGATCAGAGCACTTTAAAGACTGAGGATGTTTCAGCCCAGCATTTGAGCAAAAGAACCTCTCACATCTTTAAATCCCCGTTTCCAAGTATTTCATCGCAGTATCCAAGCACCAACATTTCCACTGGGTTTGTTTTACAAGTGCTGTCTGTAACAGACTTTCAGTCCATTCTATTTTAAATGAACGGCAAAAATCCCAACCTGTGGTGGTCCAGGACCAAGCCCACCATACTCTCATTAAAGCAGCTCATTGGCACGACTTCACCAGTATTTGCACTGCTGCTACAATGCTGTGCTAGGACCATACCTTTAGGGATCCTCATTTGCTTCAAACAAGAATATCAAGGCCTAAGATTTCTATCTTCTACATCTTTTCTTATTATACTTTCCCCTGTAACTGGATCTACGTGGGAAAAATAATGGTTTATACTATGAACAGTTCTGAAAAAAATATAAAAAATAGAAATAAACCCAGAAACCCCAAAGCTACCCCAGACAACGCCAGATCTACAGACTGAATACTCCAGAAGGCTCCCATCAAAGGCAAACTTGCCTCCTTTCCCTCCTCACACTTGCCTAAAATGGTTTTAAAATTCTGCTCTCAACTTCCCTCCCCCTCCAAAATAAAAAAAAAAAAAAATCTGTCTCTAATTTCAAACTCAAATAAGCTCACAGCATGGTGGCCTTTGTTTTGTTTTCTTCTCCCCAACTCCTCCCTGCAATTGCATAACAAAAGTGTCTAAATTCACACCATCTGGCCGATAAAGACACAGGCCCCAGTGGCCGCCTGGCCCAGCTGATTACAGCTCCTGTCTAGTCTGAGCCTTGTGGCGAAAGTCACAGCTGTGGGGCTCGCTTGCACTCAATACAACTCTGTTATTAGCCAGCTGTAGGCCCTGAGACTACTTCTGTTCAAATTATAATACCTTTTAACCCTCTGAGCATTGAGGGCATAGGGGGGTGCTGGCAGCAGCATAACAACTACTTTCCTCTTGGTCGATAATTGGAAGAAAAAGAAGAGGAGGAAAAAAGTTATTCCAGAAGAGGAGACTGTTTACCTTCATTTCCTACCGTTGGGGGGAAAGGCTGTGTGTTTAAGATAGAGCCACCTAAGAGGAACAGTTCCCATTAGGCCGTGATAACCCAAATGAAAAGATTCAGATCGGCAAATAGATAAATAGAGCCTCTCACTGCAAGCACTAATTATTGAGAGTTGAGAGTTTAACTTTCAATTGGGATGACAGATTGTTGTAGCCGTATCAATATTTAGACAACTTTCCTGCTAAGCATGCATCTGTCACTGTCTGAGCGGAGGATGCGGAGTTTCAGATGCACTTGGCTCTATACGGCAGGAATATCTCCGTGTGCAATTACATACAAAAAAATACCCCAAAAAAGCCTACCTTCAGCTAGGGAGGGTTGAAATAAGAGCAGAAAGACAGGCAGACCCTTCTTTTTAAAAACAGTAGGCATCAATTTGGACAGCAGAGTGGGTACAGTGCATTAAATTTTTATATACTGTTACTAATGCAAACTAAACTAGGGGCTTTAAAAATTGATGCTGCCACTTAAGCAGCACACAATGAGGAAGATTTGATTATTGTAGTTAAAAGAAATAAAATCAAATGTCAAGTTTAACTAGAGTTGGATCCGTTCCCTTGGCATTATTCAAAGTGATATGCGTAATGCCTCTTCAGAGCACGCAGCCTCCTGTTCAGAGATACTTTAGGAAAACACGACATTTAAAATCAAATGTCTTGATTAGGTTACAGAGTGCTTTTGATTTCGTTCACTAAGCTGTGTTCTACATGGAAAGGACGTCCCCGAGTTGTAATTCTTCCTTGGCTAATCTATCAAGCAGGAGAGTTCAGTATAATCGGAATCGTGGTTTACATTTGTAGAACACCCCCTTAAATCAAGCACGGAATATGTTTATAGGCATCAGTGGAGGCCGGGTGTGTAAAACCTGAACAGAGCATTTGATACTCAAAAGGCATGGAGAGGAAGCAGGGAGAAAGCCACATTAATTTTGTTTTCAATATTAACATTTGGATGGGGAGGTGCTGGTGTTCTCTGAAATATTTTAACTTCTAAACCAGAACTGCGCCCTATCGGGAAGAGTGGAGAACGATGAAGTATGCAAACTGCTATTTTGTTATCACAGACGAGGAGCCCACTGCACAGCAATACAAAGATTTTACTTCTCTAATGTTCACCTGGTTATAGCGAGGACTTCCAGCCATACAGATGGTGCGTGTATTTAAATGCGTAGGCAAGTCCTAGGTGTGCCAGAAAGTAACGTATGCATCTTTGATCTTTGCTACCACGTCCTACATCTACAGGTCCCTGTAAAGCGCACCGCGTGCATCTCCCATACAGGTACACGCTGTGTTAGGGATACATGGGGGAGTGTTGGTCACAAGTAACAATGCTCATTTTCCTAATTAATGAGAGCAAAGCACAACAGGAAAACGCTATCCATTTCCTTGATTCTTGTTATAAAGTAATGGAACAGTCGACATAATTGCTAAGCACTGAAACTACATCTTTCCCTTTACAAGAAGTCTGTCCAGACAATCTGCTCTTACCACTGTGTTAGCCTAAAAAGCTACTTAAAAAAAAATTCAAGTGGCAAAGTGCAACATTAAAAGCAGCAACGTTCAGTCCAACAGCTTAACCCACTCCCACTGATAAAATAAATCACAAACTATGTTTAATAAGGGTCAAGATTGGTTTTGCCTTTCGTTTTATGAAAGAACATTCTACGCACAATTTAACACATTTTAATATAACAACATTGACTGTTTGCATTGTTAGATGTATTGAAAATAATTTAATTACACGAGAACAGAGAAAGTAATAAGTTACCATGGAAGCACGATGTACACACATAAGGTACACGTAACTTCAGACTTACACAACTGTTATTAACAACGTCCTCAACTCCTTTTACCCTCCAATTTAAAAGTTTACATGCTAAAAGTGTGCCTTTTTTAAATTAAAAGGTGGAAGTCTCCTAACTATTACTTATGCAGTATAGAAAAGAAGGATTTGTGTTTTGGCTCGAGGGGTTTCTTTTTTGGTTGAGGTACAACTACGCAAAATTAAAGAACATTAATGATGATAATTTAATTAAGAAAATGCAAATATTTCAGCAGAAAAAAATTACAGGAAGAGAGCATTTTAGTTTCCAGGTAAAAATCTGCAAGTTAAACTGCTCATTCTCAAAAGGTGACCAGGAATTTTGTAAGAAATAAGCACGTGAGAAGTCTCAATTTAAACAACACATCCAAAGGCCTAGTTTAACACAGATAGCGCAGCTCGGGCTGCAGACCTGGGCTTGCTAAATCTCTTGCAGTTAAAAAAAAACCCTGCAAAACCAAACACCAAACCCAAATATCTGTATTGAATCCGAATCAAGTATTATCCACACATAAAAATGAAGTCTTCCTACACAAAGAATCTCTCGGACCCAACACCAAAACAAACCAAAAATACTGAACTCTTCCTGCCTACATCTTCATCGGAAAGGCCACTCTGGCATCTATGGAAACCAGCTTAACAACTGATATGTTGTTAATAAAGTCATCTTACCTGCACATGACTTCATGGGTAAGTAAAACTCTGCACATTTCGGGATTCTTGTTCTGTCCTTCGTAAGTTATGGGCTACAAAAATTAAGAAAAGGGGTAAGCCATTAGCATCAGGGGGTTACTTATTTGTCTTAACATTAAGATCTGAGGTGAGGGCTTTTTACCATTGCTCACCATCACTTGCAAATAAATACCCTCCCTCAAAGCATTTATGAGCAGGGAAAGCAACTTTTACATAAATATTGATAATGAAAAAAAGCACGGGAGGAGGGGGGGGGGGGGGGGGGAAGAGAAGAGCATTACTTTTCAACTAGTCTCAAAAATAAGGTCTGAAGAGACGAAAATGAGCCAGAGAAGAAAAGGCATGCAGGGCAATGTTAAGAAAAAAGGAAGGATGAGGCGGGACAGGATAGCACGGCACATCTCAGCTGTGCTCACCTGCTTAGTGACCGAATCGATGAGTCTGACATACAGATCCTGTTCAGTCCTGACACCTACAGCGAGAGAGAACAGCAATAAATAGTGCTGCTACGTGCATCGTGCCCTAAACACCAGCAAAAAAACCATTTAGTTTCATTAAACATCCTCAGAAAGGATATTTACTTTTCTTTCCTCTACTGTGTCTGCCAAGCCCGTCCCTGCACCGAAGGGGAACCATGCAAGGGAGTTTCTGTGTATATTTTGGAAATCACAGTGACAGCATCTACAACCCCTTCCTCACCCTACAACCCACGGAAGGTGCCTGGGAAGGGGACTCACCGTTGCTGTAAAGGAGCTGGAGTTTGTAATGCGTGCCGTTGTTCGTCTTCTCATTGCCTTGCTCCTGAAAGAGAAGATTTTAAAAAAATAAAATAAAAAAAATATTCTTCCAGAACTTACACTTGGCACATTTAAAATGCAAAAGCTGATCATCGTGATGGAAATGACAACCAAGTTCATTAAAATTCTGAGAGGTGAATCCGCTGATTGGGATATATTAACCTTCCGAATGACCCAGGACAAACTACAAAATACTGCTGACATCTTTTCCTGCAGGAGTTCAAGAACTTCTTTTCCTCTCTTATTTGCTATTATGCTCTCAACTTTTTCAAGGCAATACACCGAGATGAATTTGTACGTTTCGAGTCAGTTAATAGACAGCAGATTGACATGGGAAAGCTCAGCAGGTTCTGTTTTTAGTGTGTTCATTACTTTGCAACAGTGTTATTTTGAGTCATCACTGATATTTATTTCCTGAAGGCTGTGTTACAGGGATGTTTCTCGCATGTTTTTTAAACTGTAATTTCCTAGAAGATTATTATTTATGAGCATCCCTTGTAATTAAAAAAACATCCTGGCCATGACTAAGAAAATAATTGTAAAAACAATGCGTGGTCAACACATTGATTTAACATGCAAAGGCAAATGCCTTTCAAGTCCTGCCATTAACTTTGCAGTCTTAAGAAATACATATAATCAAGCTCAACAGATAAATTAACATTTTAGAGGTCAGATGCCCCTTCTGTTAGGGTACTAAAAAAACTTGGCAGATCTGGTAGGTAGAAAAATGAAATAAAATAAAATAAAAAGCACATTTGTCCCCCATGATTTTTTTTTATTCTGTTTTTCGCGGGTGTCCGAAGTTCCCATTGTATTCCTGATACAGCAGAGGCTTGCAAAAGCCTTTTTAACTACAGCAGCACACAGAGGGCAACAGCTCTGCCGGAGCACCTGAACCCTTACCAAGGGCTGGTTGTATTTTGTCAGGGACAACAGGTATTAAAAGTTAGAAGCTCAACGGGGGAGAAGATCAAATTTGGAGAGGAAAAGAGGAAGAAGAAAGGTAACAAGCCTTACTTTATCATTTTCTACAAAGTCCACAAAAGCTGTCCTCTCTATTTCCACGGGCTGCCCCTGTCTGTCGTAGAGAGCCAGAACAAAGTGAAAGAAATTGGATTTCCTCAAGTTGGAGGGTGGCTGCTTTTCAAAGTGAGCTCTGGACAAAGCTACTCCGCTGTGGAGGAAACATACGGGATGGGGTGTGGG